AGGATCATAGGTTGAAGGGGACATATTGAGTTTGTCCACATGATGCCAATGATATGTGTTAAACCAATGGTTACCAGCTTCTGGTATCCCAAAGAGAGGCTTAAGCACTTGCCATATAGTACCGGGAGGTAACTTGATTTTGGCAGGGGGACAAACGTAAAATCTGCAATTTAGATTGGTGGTTGACTGAACATATGCCTGGGAAATATCACGTAGATACAAACCGACGTCATTCCTTTGCATGATAGCAGCGAGAGCGAGGAGAGCCTCTGGCTGGAACGTTGGATTGTGGGTGACTGGGTCAGAATTGTGTGTTTGCCATCATTGTTGTAGGCCTGAACAACTAATCGAGATTTTTCAAAGACTTTTTTAGTTCCCAGATGTTTAAGATCATCCACAAATCTAGTGTGGAATATTCTAGTTTCAGGCAGGATATTATTGACATGAACTACTTTGAAAATTCCTTTTTCCAATAGTCCGTTAATTTCTCTTTGCCTAGATTCTTCAAATGATGGTCTGGGGATTTCTGTAATATCTGGGGGAAGGGTTAGTGAATCAAGAACGTTGCTTTTGAATAAAAGGTCCGGATAATTGAATGAGATGTTTTGATCTGCTTCAGATAGCTTTGTTCTTATGCGAGATTTGATGTAGGGGGGAGATATTGTAGGACGTGGCAAAATTGGAGAGGGAGATGGAGGAGCTTCTGGATTTTATAAGGTCGCATCAGGTAAGTTAGGTTCTTCTTGAGCGTCGTCAATTAGGAATGGTTTGACAACTGTACTGTGGAAATCTGTAGGACCACTGGGGAGATGTACGGAGCAAGTTTCGCTGTTGATGCTAAGAAGTGGAAAGGGGCCAGTCCACCTGCTGTTTTTGTTAACGTTGCCTTCTCGCCAGACAAGGACATCTGAGTTGAGTGGTAGGTCGCAAATTGCCACAGTTGATGGAAGATTGCGAGAGCTTAGAGCTTCTTTTATTTGTTGGTTAGTGCGAAGCTTGTCAATTTCTTCCGTGGCTTTGCGTATAGCCATTGCTTGCTGTGTTGCAGAAGGGGCCGGGAGATCTAGCTCGGTCATTTTTGGAAAGTTCCCGTACACTAAAAGAGTAGGAACAAGACCATCCGGCCCAGCTGTATCATTCACTGCCTTGACTGCCATTTGAAGCAGCATGTTTTTGTTTAGGTTTGTGCTGGACATATGATGAGTTATTGTTTCATATGCTTGTTGCAAAACATGGTGGTAACTTTCGACTATTCCAATTGACCAATGGGCCTCGACTGGCACGGCTTTTGTCCTTATTGCCATGATGGCTGCACTTTGGACAAAGTTTTTACTGACAAGATTCTTTCCAGCATCGGTGTGACAGTCGGGGAAGTTCTCAAGTTGGCTTGAGATGCACAATCAATAATTTACGATTCTTCTAAAGAGAAAATATGTATGTACAAGAAGGGCTTATTTATACCCGCGCTCTCCTCCAATACGTGGCCCGCATCTATTCCTGAGAGCGGACAGATGTACCTATGGGGAGTTTAGGCTTCTACATTGGTATTAACTCCCGACGCTCGCCCTACCACTCGGCTACCTTTCAATCAATTTTGCCGTGCCCGAAACAATCCTCTCTGGGCCCATTTGAGTGCTGTTAACTTTCTCAATAGATGTTCTGGCACATGTTCCACCACACAGTCCTCTAATTATGTCACTCCCCGTGCTCGAGGCAATCTTCCCCGCAACTATCCGAGTGTTTGCTAGTAGTCCGAGCCGTAGAGTGAGTTTTCCATTACCTGATGACCCAGCGGGTGGAAAGGGTGCCTACATTGGCCAATGCAGGCTACAGGGCTTACCGTCGGTTCACCAGCTGTTACAATCGGTAATCACATAATTGTGAGGTCCTTGATATGTACTTATCCATGCGTAGCATAGCGTATCCCATATGTGCTCGGAGGTCATGTTACAAAGCCATTGAGCAGCTTGATACCTGGTGCTTTTGTCAACAATATGCAGGATTGAATTATTATTGATATATATGATATCAATAAGAATTGCATGGTTGAAGTTTATCTCGTCACGAAGTTTGAATTTAAATTGGCCGGGAGATTTGCCAAACTTTTGACACTGTTTGCAGAAGCAAGTTAATTTTTGGATTTCTTCATAGTTAACATCATCGTGACGAGGTCGCTCTAGCAGTTGTTGGAGGCGATGGGCAGCTGGATGCCCAAAGCGGCGATGGAGTCGGCGGAGCTCAGTATATGTAAGGAAGCAATCTTGGCCGAGTTTGTAAGTTGTTGAAGGTAGACGTGTTTTCTAGAGGAGAAACAGGTGTCCAAATCGACAAGTCACAGGGAATCTACGAGTTGAGGAGACAAGTACGTTGTTGATATTATTCAAATAGACACCATGAAGGTCCATGTCGGCAATGCTGAGTAGAAAGGGTGTGTCAGCATTAAGAACATGGAATTCAACCAAGCCAAAGGGAGGGCAAATAACCACGAAGCCAATTGAAGTTGTTTTCCCTATGCCAAATTGGATTTTCGCAGCTCCGGCCGTTGTAGTGTCGAGTTGAATGTTGGTGATCTTCTGAAAGGCTAAGAATTGGCCGTGTCCAACAGTGGATTTTGTGGCAGCACCAGTATCAATCATGATGCCGAAAAATTCACAATCACTGTAGCAGATTATGGGATTTCTGGGTTTGAAGTTGCTAGTAGAACGGGTTAAGGCGTAGAGGGAGGCTTCATTGTTGAGTTCTGTGGGGTATTTCTTTCCGTTGATAGGCCCAAATCTAGTGAAATAAGCTTTGTTGAATTCCTCAGAGTCAGGGAGGTCGAGGTCTGACATGAGTTGGCTTAAATGAATTGATACGGGGTTGGCTGATTCAGGCTGATCACATTTGGTAAAAATTTGGGTGTATCTTTTGTTATACTTATTCTTTTTGTTTTGAAGGTGCTGAAAGGCTTCTTCACGCACAGCTTTTGAGTGTTTGTTGGACCAACAGCCTTCTTTGTTGCAGACAATGCATGATTTGGAGGAGCTTGGTGATCGGTGTCTGGAGGGACATTCGGATTTAGAAGGGCAGCAATTGTTGATGTGGTATCTGGTGTTGCTGCGACCCTGTGAGTTTTCACGAGGCGTGATCCCTTGAGGATCATTCCTATGGAATTGAAGGTCTGTATAGAAGACACCTGTTGAGGATTTACGATGAATTTCGTCATACAATGTGATAGATGATTGTAGAAAATTGAGAAATCCGGAAAAAGTTGGGGGTGGAGTGAGGCATGCATGTTTGCAAGCAGATACATTTTTACATGCAGCAATCATTTTGAATTGTATCAATTTATCTGTTTGAAACTCGGGGTCTAGACTGTGTTGTAGGGTCCGTAAAGATTGAGCCAACATTTCCATACAGGTGATGGTGTCATGCAGGGGATTTTGTTGAAGTAAATTTTGTAGAGTGAGCAAGTTCCATTTGTTCATGTCAGTAAATGGATCATATTTGGGTAGTATGAATTGTTCTTTCTAATTGTGGTATTCAGGTTGTTGTTAGGACACTGACAGGGATCTGATTTAGCTCATTAGCGAGGCGCTTGGAGCAGAGGAAGAAAGGGGAGATGGAGAAGGAAAAGAGAGACAACGTTTTATGTATATTGAGTGTCACAGACCGGCTTTCCCCACGAGGAAAACGGCCTGCTTGTCACTACCATTGTGCCATGGGCTAATGCTGAGATGCTGCGCTTAGTCTGGTCAACCAAGTCAGGAGCTTCCCTAGTAACATAGTCAATGCGTTGCGATGGTTACAATGTTATGATAGCAACAGTTACTAATCAACATAAGCAATCAGTTGCTGTGTTATAGCTGTAGACTACCATACCCCTGATTGTAGTAGCCGCTCTTGAGTACTTAAGGAAGGTCTAGGACTGGATTTGTTCTGTAGCTTTTTGTCTTGTAATTATTCTAGACTTTAGATTGATCCAATTATTATAAGCTTTACCTTATACCCCGACTCCGTCACGTTCCGCCTCCGTCACGTTCCGTCTCCGTCTTGTCTCGCCCTCGTCCCGTTCCGATCACATCCTGTTCCAATCACATTCCGTCCCGACTACATCCGTCCCGACTCCGTCCCGACTCCGTCCCGACTCCGCCTCCGTCTTGTCTCACCCTCGTCCCGTTCCGATCACATCCTGTCCCGACTACATCTGTCCCGACTCCGTCCTGTTCCGACCCTTGACCTCCGAACTATCCAACGAGCCTGACATTGAGATACCAGTTAATTGAGATTATTCACCGACTTTGTGACAGACAGCTGACTTCGTGATGGCACCCAATTTGTATTATTTCGTGTTTTACCAACAGTTCAAGATGCGCTGATGGTACTTGTCACCTTCAAAGTTTGTTTTCATCATTTGATATAGGCCCTTAAAGGTAGGGGGTAAACAGCTAAGATTTGAATAGTAGAAGTCGGCTGCTATTCCTTTGAGCATTGTTGAGAACGCTTTAGTATAACACTCCTGCGTTATTCCATTTAGGCCACAGAGCTCATAGAAGATTGAAACTTTGTAATCTAAACTATCATCCATACATGCGTACTTTATTTCTGTCATGGCGAGACATTCTGGAACCAGAGTCTAAGCAGAAGGCCTGAGGATAAAATTCACGGAACAGGTTTTTTGACTCACCCTCAACACTTGCACTTATATGGTGAGACTAGATAATGCGCCTACTGGAATTGATATGGTTGAGGTCACAGTTTGAGTCATGATGGGAAATTACAACAGTCTTAGTTGAATTATGTTAGATAGTTATTTGTACTTAAGGAAGCTGGAGCTACAACAAAGTAGTTCTCCAGCTTCACAATCTTATAATATTATTACAGTATTCCTTTCGCAAACCCGCTTCCTACTAGCCATAGTACTTCGTCGACTTCCCACCTCTATAGTATTCACCACTTGACCTTTTCATACCCTCGGTGAACGGCGATCTCGATCTCCCCTATAGCACGCCGTAACAATTTCATTGGTGTAGGATCTTGACAGGGTTTGGTTGAGGGTAGTTGCTATTAGGAGGAGCGAAAGCTGAGGTTTTCGTGTTGCTGATGCTAGTTGATGGTGGAGGTGGGATATTTGTGATCTTCTTTTGACTGTTATAGTATGCAACTTTGTAGAGATCAGGATTGGAATTTATTTTGAATGATATGTTGGCAATGTGAATGAAAATGCTGAATCTTCTTGTAAGGCGTTCAGTATTTGGTCTTCTGTCCATTTTTCAAAATCAAACTTCAGGGCGTTTGCCAAGATGTTAAACACTTCGTCCGATTTTGATTTCGGCATGTAGATACCACCTTGACAAAGGATCTCTCTTAACTTTTGGGCAAGACGGAGTCCGCAATGTTTGAAGTGAGAGGATTGCCAGCCGGCGAAGTCGTGATGGAATAGGTTGTAGAGATTGTCATCAAACACGTCTTTGTTGGTGTAAAACTGAAATTTGGTACTGGCGTAGTGTCTAATGTCTTCGGAGGAAGCCAGGCTCAAGTTGATTTTCAGACATTATGGGTCTTAAGTGTTGATAATGGCAGATCCAGTGGATTTGTTGTCAGAAATCTTGAGTATTTTGGAAGCTTACAGCAGGTTGATGTCGCTTTGTGAACTTACATAGATTGATTGATCATAGATAAATTACAGAGTGCAATACCTTAAACTTTAACTCTTTGAATGTATACTAACTGAGGCAAGAATCTTTCTTCCTAATCCGTCACCATGAAAGAGGTACAATACCTAGTTCACTATTGATTGGTCTGATTAATTCCGGTCTCCTAATTTGTGATATCACTAATTAGTTGTGTGAATATTGAGGTTGGTAGAGAAGCTATGGGGAAATTTACGGATATTAGTCACGTGGTGTCAGTGCAGCGTTGGGGTTCACTTCCGTTCATTATTCCTGTTAGATACAGAGATAGATATAGATATAAGTTTTGATCAATAACCATTCTGTCCAATCTTTGTGCTAGCACATTAACTAGAACCAGTGATAAACCGACATTAGTGTTGGAATCACCAGGGTTCCAAATACAGCACTGTCAATGACTGTATTGTAATTGGTTCTCCTTCTATCTAAGCTATGAAAGTAGTTATATGAAGAATTTCTAATTACGTAAACATTACATCATATGATTAAAGACTCCAAACTCCAACATGTACCAACATAATATTGTGCTGGTGATGCCTAGGATTACAATGCACAAGGGTAATGATCACTGAGGGTGAAGGAAGAACTTTCTAGGCGGCTCCATGATGAGTAGAGGAACAATGGAGCACTGTATAGAAAGTGTTTCTAGATTATATAACCAGATGGAGGAGACTAGAATATTCCGTGGTACTGTTTTGGGTAGATGAGGCGAAAGTCTAGCTACCTCAGATGTGTATATAATTAGCGCTTTCTACCTCCTAAAGCATTATAGTTCTAAATATCAAATATTTCAGCAGTTCAAATTGATTTATCAATAATCATCCGTAAACCTTCTGCCAATTAACCTCCGTAAGCTCTTACCTTTACAACACAAGTGCCTCGCTAATGAGCTTAGTCAGATCCCTGTCAGTGTCCTAACAACAATCTGAATACCATGTGACAGTAAACCTGACTTGGTGATGATAATGTCAATTTAATAAACTATATGAGGAGAAAAGCTAACTCTAGCTACTACAAACTGGTATTTATAAGAGTTAATCCTCCTCGTGAATCTACAGACTAGTGACTTGTCCTTAGTGTTGGAAAATCGGTATGGGTTTGATGAGTAAGGCGGCTCAAAGAATATGGGCGCGGTTTTATGAATAGAATAATAATAATATGAATGGGGAGAATATGTGATATACTGTGGAGAAATAAAAGATGGTTTGAATAAATTGAATTGATTAGATCATCTGTCTTAGTGATTCCTAGACAGCTTATATACATGTAATCTTGATAGACCAAATCCAGACTAGATACCATCCATCACTCGTTCCATACTCTAACAATGACAATGAAATGCACAACAGTATACAATAAGAGCATGGGGTCAAGGTCGGTGGATGAAAGCCTACACGTGTATCAGACCATACCATGCACTAGTCGAGTCTCAAGCATCAAACATGCTCAGTAAGGGAGATATCAATCATCTAGGTCGTGAGTCATGTGTGAGAATCATAGTTGTTCCAATCATGGGAAACTTCAGACACATAGAGTCTGAATTTCCAACACTTAGGCATAATACTTCTTACCCAGCCACGTATTTCCAGGTGTCACTAAGTTGTAATGATGCTTCAGCCTCCTGAGTAGTAGTGCTGTTTTGTTCAGCTTCATCTCCTCCCCCATACAGCCTCATTGTAAGAATTCTTAGAATCAGGCTTAGGTATCCACCTAAGCTAAAACAACAGTCAATCTGTAACATACTGCAATAAGAGAGAACAATTCATACTGCCCAAATATGATCCTTTTACCAGCAGAATAATTTTTCCTTGGGATGCCAATCTACAGTATTGTGTCCTGTCTTTTATTTACTCTGCATAGACTGGTCTTAGCTCCCTCCATTAGCCTCCTGAGAATCATCATTTCTCCCTGGCTCTCTTCCTTGGCCTTATGACAATCATCCTCTCTCCGCGGCTCATCTATTCTGTTGTGGTTATAAGCTGTGATGTGACGCACGGACTTTTGTAATCTAACGCTTTTCTTCCTCGGACTTCATGGTGAGCAGTAGTTGTATAGCACGTGATGCCATGCAGGGGAGAAGGAAGAGGATGGCGAAAGCCGCTAGCCAGATCTAAGCAATCTGGCCCACTTGTAGATGGAGAAATCCTTTTTGTACACAGACAATACAACCCTAACTAGTAAAACAACAATAGTAAGGAGCTCATACATCCACACCTCAGTTATCTCATACATCGTGACCCATAAACCTCACTCTCATATCTATCACTCCACGACAAAGCTTCAACACGGACCACATGCAGGGTGCATGTGCAACATTCCTCTTGCAGAAGACATGTAACTGTAGTTAGTTAGCTTTACCACAGTGCCAACTGGCCTAAAATGGCACAATATTAGACCTGTGTATCTAATCGCTATCTTGCTATTTATAGTAGACTTGTGAGCTCACACAGAGCGTCACATGTGAGGTACACGGCAATTATGTCTCTGCTGTCTGTCGGTGGAGTTTGTTCAGACTAGGTCCTGGTCAACAATGTCTAGCCTAATTGTGCTATGTTGCAGGCTACTGCTACAATTAATCATCGGGTCATCAGCAGGGTTGTGAGTAGTTTCGGTTTTGGTGTGGGTTGTTAGATTGATAACTGAGCGTGTTGCATAGTAGTCAGACGTGCAACTCGAGTAGCATATGCACGGTAAACCTCAGCCCCAAACTGATGGTTCAAATCAAGTTTTGTATGCTACGTCCTGTATGGCTAGCGCAGTTGGAATATGGGGAGTTTACCTGTAGATAGATTAAGACGTTGTAGCCCTCTGATAGTTGGGACAAGTCTTCTACAATATTATATCGGAATCAATACTAGCCTCTCATCAAGCAATCTCATGAATTATTTCCAATGTCTGTGATAACTGACATACATAAACAATGTTGACAACAACTTTAAAAAGTTGATAAGAAGTACACGGGCTCATTTACAATGGTGAGTTGCAGAGATGGCCCGCTCATGCTGGGAGATGGCACGATGGACACTGAGTGCGTATCACTGTAGCCAAATGGGTGTCAGTAGGTATCAAATGTGAACTCTTACTGACAATGGTGATCTATGAAGGTGATGCTAGATGTGCATCCCGACAATTGATAATATCATCTAATGGATAATGTGAAGTATGATATTATATGGATAGATTGATTCACTAAACTCGGCAAGTGAAGAGATTGTAGAGTACATGAACAGCATCTGTGCACCAGCCTGTATTTTCCACCCTTTGCCAATCCAGCAGCCCATCCTCCGTTCCCCTGTCTCCTAACAACTCAACCGAGCCAGCACAACATATTCTACTGTACCATACTTCCCATTTGGTACGTGCCACTCTTGATGGATCCTTAGAGTTGAACATGGAGACACGGAGTGTTGTGGATGTATGGGCCCTCTATTTTGTCTAGGTTCCCGACACGATCTCGTGTGTATTTAAGAGGTTGGAGTAGGTAATATGGTAGCGCTTCAGGCTACCCATTGGAGACATGAGCGTCTGTATGGCGTGGGCGCAAGGAGGTTATTGGGGGTTTTCTATGCCTAGATGGCACCACACTTGTTTATGCTGTGGCTTAGGCTCTGTGCCGCTTACATTTGTACTTGTAGCGCACACTTCCCACACTTTTAGCTGTAATCCGAACATGACACTCTTTTAGTCAACTTCTACTTTCGTTCCATAAATATTGCGCGATATTTCCAACACTTAGCGCCCCATTCACATTTCCGTGAGCGTTGCTCTGCCACAGCCTAAACTCGAAGACTTAGTGGTCCTAGTGACCAGACCCAATCCGGGCAAAGCCCGGATTGGGACTTCGACAACAAAAGGCACAAGTGTTCATACCTCCTGGGATTTTTTGATGATGATGTGCGAAAATTCCTGAAGTCTTACCTTAAGCCAGAGAGTGTCAATCACATCACCAGGCTGAAGCTATTGTCGATATCCTACAATGATCATACAATAAAACCGATGAGCACAAGCGTTTCGAGGCTCCTGCTCATTTCAAGAAATTTTACAAAAAGGACGATGCTTTCTCTGCATTATTCTACAAGTTCTTGACCTATGCTTCTGAATTACAACTTCGTGACCAAGATTGTATGGATGAAATCAGGGAGAAAATAAATCCCGAATTACAGTGTGCCATTCTTGGTACAACTTTCAATAACAATTTTGAGATATCAAAACATTGTCTCAAGATTGAACCCCAATTGGTGTCACGGTTTCGAGGGACAGGTGCTGGGGCAACTATGTGGTCGATGGTAGTAGATAATAATTCTAAGGAGAGAACTTCCACTACATCTATCTAGTCATTTATTTACGTGAAAGCTATTGTGAGGTTATGGATCGTAGAGGGATGCTGGAATGGTGTAGGGAGGTGAAGGATATATGCCGAAAAACAAAGCAAATGAATAGATCTTAGGGGTGAAGCTTGGTAGGGTGACACGAAGAGGGTATAAATAGACATTCAGAGATATTCAGTAAATGTAATGAACTGAGGATTCCTGAAGGAGAAGAACACTACATATACATACAGGAATTAGTCCTACTGA